TGTTATTTATTTATTTATTTATTTATTTATTTATTTATTTATTTATTTATTTATTTTTAAAGAGGCCAAACATGGTTGTAGTTCTAGCCCCAAAGGAGATGTGCATGATGATAGCAACTGAAAAAGAATACCACTGTGGTTACACTTGACTACACAGTGAGCTAATAGTGCTCGGGGCGCTTCCTGCGGGGTGCATCCTCTTGGAACAGTGGCTTCTTTTGACCCTAACAAACCAAATGTGGATCAAATTAAAGGGACTAGCTTGGGTAACAGCACCACAGTGCCCTTTCTTGGGGATCTCTGTGAAACATGGCAGTGGTATCATCACAAACATATTCTGGATTTGACAAAGTTTCATGGGAACTAATTGATTTTATAGGAACTAATTGACTGGGATTCTCCCTCTTTCTCTGCCCCTCCCTGCTCATGTTCTCTCTGTCTCTCTCAAAATAAATAAATAAAACTTTAAAAACTTTTAAAAAATAGCAGCAATATTGAAAATTGAGTTTGGGCATGAAAAGTTCACAATTTGCATCTCTGGTTCAAATGAGGTATCCATCATAAGATTGTGATACTTTTCTCATGATTTTTGAGCCTTTTTCTATAGAAATTAAATTTATAAATGAACATTAAATTGGGGCATCTGGGTGGCTCAGTCAGTTAAGTGTCCGACTCTTGGTTTCAGCTCAGATCATGATCTCATGGTTCATGAGTTCAAACCCCAAGTTTGAGCCCTGTGTTGGGCTCTGCACTAAACAGCATGGAACCTGCTTGGGATTCTCTCTGTCCCTCCCCCCTTCCCTCTCTCTCTCTCTCTCTCTCTCTCTCTATCTCTCACACACACACACACACACACACACACTCTCAAAATAAATAAATAAACATTAAAAAAAAAGATACTAAAACAGTGTATTATATTTGTAATTTCTTATGGAGGCAAATTGAATTTCCTTATACCAATGAAAATGGTGAAAATTATAATCTATTCACCTCTTTCTAGACATACACCTGCATAAGCCCTGGTAGAAAATAGCGAATAAGGGGTGCCTGGGTGGCTCAGTCGGTTAAGCATCCGACTTTGGCTCAGGTCATGATCTCGTGGTCCGTGAGTTCGAGCCCCGTGTCGGGCTCTGTGCTGACAGCTCAGAGCCTGGAGCCTGTTTCAGATTCTGTGTCTCCCTCTGTCTCTGACCCTCCCCCGTTCATGCTGTCTCTCCCTGTCTCAAAAATAAACGTTAAAAAAAGAAAATTAAAAAAAAAAGAAATTAGCGAATAAATTAGCATCATGATAAAAGACTATAAGATCTGTGTTCTGATGGCAGTAAAAAAAAAAATGTAATAATTCAATCATTCTTCTTGATGAAGTATACTGGCTTTGGAATCAGATTGCTTGGGTTCTAATACCGGCTCTCTGGTTTACTTTGTCTCTAGGGCAGGTCCCTTAACCCTTCCTACACTGTTTTTTTTTTTTTTAATCATACAATGGGCATAGCAATAATAATGCCTGTTAGAGGGCTTCTGTCAGAATTTGTTCACATGGCCCTTAACAGTGGTTCACACAGTGCCTGGCACATTGTAAACGGCTGTAATTATTACTGCATGTATATTACATGTGCCTTGTTTCCTCGACTTGATTGCAAGCTTTGAGAAGGCAAAGACCATCTCATATAGTTTTCTGGTCCCTTCATCACCTGGCACAGTATCTTATAAATTACATAGTCAGCATGGAGATTTAAAACTAAAGGGCAATTCGGGGTTAGATAAAGGACCTTGACTATCGATTTCCCCAGGGCTCCTCTGGACTTGTCTCTCACTCTAGTATAACCCCTGAATCCACTCTGAGTTGTGGCAATGGTAGTTCAAGGCTGCTTCTTACCCTAATCAACAGCGGCCAATCCAATCAAACATTTAGACAATCAGCCAAAAGACTGAAGCTATGTGTCCTGCAACAGAAATTCCAGAAAGTCATGGCATTTAGGAGCTGTTTCTGGGTTTCTTAGGCATTTCTGGCTACTGGATAGCAAGTAATTTCTTTATTTCATCTAAGTTAAACCATGCAGAGTATAATTTATGCCCTCCTTCTTTAGCTCTTCTCATGGTAGAATGATGAGCTAGCTAGCATTTTCCTTATCGAAGGACTTATTGTCACTGAACAACTCATCTGCAACAAGCTCACAGATAACCCATGGCCAACATACTGATCTATGTTTTTTAAACATGCTTTCTACATTTTTACGTCTTAGTTTTTGTTTTGTTTTGTTTTGTTACTTAACAGTTTGATGTGAGCTATTCATCAAAAGATGAAGTTTCATGCTGGTACATATTGATTCCTACCCTCTCTTAGTAAACAGTATAGCAACAAAGTTCAGTAAGGCTGGGTTTCCTTATGGATTGGTGTGAGACCTGCATTTCAAGTTGGTATAATCTACGGGTTGGAGGTAGGTTTTGAGAATTTAAAACATTTTCACCATTACTATGAAATATTTGGAAAGTTTGTATAAGGCCTTCCTTTTGGCTCTTCTCATTCTTCACAGTGCTCTGCCAATAATATTTCTGCTCTGTAGCTAGCACTGCAGCTCCCCCCTTTGATATTTCTTCTGTCCACTTCCATTCTATCTTAATTTAAAAAATACATTTCTAAAATTTTTTGTTGTTCTATTTTGTCAGTAGACACTTGCAACTGCACAAGTGTCTGATTATAAGCTGTATGGTGCTGTGAAAAACTTGCAATTGTTTTCCAAAATGACAGGCAGTGTAAATTATAAAACATAAAATAGTATATGTTAAAGCATTGCCAGCAATAAATAAAAACGGCTTATTTGGAGGAAGTAACCTTGGAAATGAGAGAACTAGGCTGGAGGAGGAAACAATCCACATGGTTAGGAAAGGAAGAGCCACATTTAGGGGAGCATCTGAGGGACAAGGACGATGGAAACACTCAAGTGACTCCTGATCCTAGACAATCCTCCAAGGGTTAAGTCACAGAGGGCAGTTAGGTTGGGCTAGATTTTCCAGTTTCTCTCCTGAAAGATACTGGACCTTTATTTCCTAGGAATCACTCATTCAGCATTGCTGAGTACCTAACTTGTGCCAGGGGTCTGCACAGGAACTGGATTTGCAAAGATGAAAAGAGCAAAGTTCGTCTTCCAGCGTTTCTAGAACACTCTAGGAGGTTAAGTATAAAAGGGCCTTGTTGCAAAAAGAGAAAACAGCAACCAGAAGCTTGGAAGAATCCTCAGGGCTCCACAGAGGAAGTGAGCTGTGGCCTGAAGGGTTTTGATAGGCTTTTGTATGTATCTTTCAAGAATAAATGATGTGAAATAAACAGATCATCCTGAAAGGAAAGGGCTGGGAAGAAGCATGGCATATTATATGGGAGATTTAAAACATTTAACTGGAGCAGGAACTTATAGACCAGTCCCTTATAACTGTCAGGAAAGAAGGGTCTAGATGACAAATGAGTGTTAAGTGATCAAACTGACATTCACCCATGTGGAGCGTCTTCTTCTGACTGGCACCTTGCTAAATGGAAATGTGGGCTGCTGTTCTCGAATACCTAGTTAGGGGCGGACAGGGTGCACCCACTTTTATCAGATTTTGCACACCACTTAAGGCTTCTTCCTAGAAGGCTACTTTTGATGGTTCCAAACCCTTTCCTCCCCTCAGCCTCTGTAGTTTTAAGGGCTGTGCGAGGTCTATCTGCAGGGATTTTAGAGGTTTTCCTCATTCTCTTCTGAAGAGAAGTAATAAAAGCATTTAAATTAGCGGGAGGGCGGTTAACACCCGCAGCCCTGGCTTCACTGCACGCCTCGTCACCACCCGGGTTCACTCAGCGCCTGGCTTCGGGGGAGCCGAACAACGTTAACGGCCGCTGGGCAGCAACGGCTCCCGGACAGCGCGCTGCGGACGTCGCGCGCTCGGGACTGGCAGGCCAGCGGC